AAAACTAGTTAATTTAGAATAAGATAAAAGCGGGTCAGATAACTCATTTGAAATGAAAATGTAATGGTGTGTTGGCTAACGTATGAGTAAGTCTATTTTATAAATCGTATACAGTATATATGTACGACAAGTTTAACAAGAAAAAAATATGAACGTACTTTATCATTAAATTACGATGATATATAATAAAATACTATGGAAGTTTTATATCGGTGCACGGGAAATGTCAAAAAATTAAATGGAAGAAGTATATTTATGTATATACATCGGTCTGATATTATATATAATTATGTTTTCATATAATGGATATACCACCTATATGTATACCAAAGTCCAAAAGGCTAATGATAAATTTGATTAATGTATTCTAATCCCCCGGCAATACTCTTTACAAATCTTACTTACATTATTACATTTTTTACTATTACTAATGTTATTATTATTGTTTTATTTAATAAAAATGAGAAAGTGTATATAGGTGGTACACTAGCTGGTACCTACATATATAATATTTTCATAGATTAAATTCACATATACATATATAGTACCTACTACTTCCATAGGAATAGGTATATTTCTTAACAATGATGTACATTGTAACAATGAGTGCCCCGATTATTGATCCAATACTATTACGGTACAGTTGACCTCCACAACGAAAGTCCAAAATCCGTATACATATACCTTTCCGTTTTATTTTTTTTCTCGGTTTCTCGCTCTTTCTCTCTCGTTTTAAAAACTGGACTTTGGCCAGAGATGGGATGAGGGTTAGCCGACTGCCAAGTTATAAAAAAAAAAAAACTTTTTACTTTATATTTTAAGGGTGTTGGATAATATGGTGTTTTAGGGAGAATATCATGTCGTTCTCTATTGACCTTGCTTGTGTTACAGTCCAGATTATATGTGATTATTCACCTAGGGTTGGCCAAACTTTGGGAACATCGACTGGAAATGGGACAGAGTTCAGTATTGCAGTCGCCAATAGCCATTATCAGCTTCCGGTTTCCGCGTTCTAGCACAAACATGTCTTCGACACTATAACTGCTATACGCAGAGAAAGATAAGTCAATTTATTTCAGCAATCTAATGTAACAATCTTAATGCCCCRATCACGAGATTTTAATAAATTTAATTGAAAACAAAAACTATCGGAAACATGAAAATGAACACAATTGTTTGTATAATTTATAAGTTTATAACATTGAAGTACCTTCCAATTGTTTCAAAACAAATTTCGTATTTATAAGTTAATCTCTTAGAGTATTAATTCAATCCCTATTTATATATTACTCTAGATTAAATATATWTWTTTTTTTTTTTAAATCAACTATTATGTTGTTTTTTTATAATAAAAAGTATAATAGGATTTAATGATTTTAATGATTTTAACAGACGATTAACGGCATATTAACGTACAATAGTTATTTTGATTTATTATTTGAATCAAATTCCATGATTTGTTTGAATTAATATCAATAATCTTATCATTGAACGTCTAATTCTGTATTTTTATTTTTATCTTCGTAATAGTAATATGATAAATATTTATATCTACATATAAAAATAACTTTTGTACCATTGTATTTTAATACAAATCAAATGAAATATATTTAAGTATCAAAATTATTTTTATGCAARTACCATTTTTATGTCTCACACACTAAATAATATAATAATTGTGTTATTTGATAAGTTAACAAGAAGCCCATAACTATATTATATTTATTATTAATAAAAACTGCCACTGTATTCGTTAACCATGATATAAATAACTTTTAAACATTTTCATTTATTCCCATACACGTTTTATATTTCTTGTTTCAGTTCTACTTAGTACTTTATTGTGTACCAGGTAAAAAAATAAATGAAAGAAGAGCTGTTCGTGTTTTAACAAAGGTTCGAGTTATGTATTTGATTGGCTTTGTTTCAAATACACCATTAATAAAAAAAAACTCCGGTCGTGGTCTGATTGACCCTGCTCCGACACATACTTTAACAAAACCATTATAAAAACCAACTAGTTCTTTCGCACACGAAATGCGATTTATCCCAACAATACCTACTTGAGCTGCACACAAGTAATATTTTTCTAAGGTTCAAATCGTTAAAACAACACTATAGTAGTATAGTAAGTTATACATTATCACGATAAAATRGAATTTCCGATGAAAATAGTTTAATTTTATTTAAAATCATTAATATACAATTCTATAAATTATAGAATACGATATAAAATTATAGTATTAGTAGGCAATTTCAATAATTTTAAATCGTATTACTAAATCGTTAATCATACAGATTAATACCAATGAATTTCCATTAAGTAATATTAAAAAACATTAATTCCAACATAACAGTTTATACGGTCCCATACCGACCATGAAGTTAAAATAATATGCGAATAGATAAAATTAATTATTGTTTTTATTAACATAATAATATTACCCAACTAAGTCTATCTAAAGCGAAAGCGAAATTAAAATTCAAAGTAACAACTACTATATAAGCAATACTACGTGTAAATTTACATTCAAATTAAATAATAATTATACGAAAATGTTTGTAATAGTTCCAAGAATATTTTATACAAGTAAGTTTAGGTACAAAGGCTATGTGGTTAAWTTAAAACATTTATACTTTATTTAACAAAACATTTCGTTGTTTTTATTATAATGCCAAACTTTGTCTAATTTTCTAAAATTACGTTTTATCTTAGATTTTCTTAAGCTGAAAAAAAAATTTTACTTTAAGAATTTTCTTCAAGAAGCTCATTTATACAGTAACTGATTAAACGTTTCGTTCTTTTGTATGAAAAGGCGATAGATCGACCTGCTGAATGTTATGGGCGTGCAATTTTTTGGACGAGAACCAACGACCAAAACTTTTTCTGTCTACAGATGGAGGGTGTGTGAAGGGTTCATTTGGTGCAATCTCAATCTCAATTGTTATCCAACCCAATTTACTGCCCACGTTTAATATCAGTATTATATATATATATATATATACAGGATATAAGGCTTCTGCAAAGGCTTATGTAGTTATATGAAAGAATAAAATATAACTAAATTTATCTGTAATTTATTTTACGTCTTTTTCATTATTTTTCGGTGCAAACGGAGACACAGCTGACATTTTATGTAGCATTATTTACTCTATAATATTTTCTATTTTATTTCATTGAGTAGGAGTTCAACTATGATATTGTGTATGTTATATGATAATATAAAATAATAATACATTTAAAAATAAAAATCAGTCGTATTCAATCACCGCAACGATGAAAAATAATATGGAAATAATGAATACCTTCCTTAATGTTACACATTAAACCAAACTACGTATTGTTATTTTTATGAATATTATTTTAAAACTAGGCACGAATTATTAATAAAAAATATCAAAAAAATACATATTATTATATCTTAAACTGCAGTTGGTTAGGTAGGATGTTCRTAAGATTCAATAACTGTTCATTACCCATGTGTGTCAAATCCACAGAGTAACCAAACGTATCAGTAAAATCATATCCATTTTATGAAATTAGATCATACAACACGTGAAAAGTCGTTTTTAAGTTCATATTATGTGTACACAAATATAATAAATTTCATGAAACAGAAAACATTATTGTATAATATTGATGTAACCTTTTTTTTTTTAATAAATTTACACTATATTGGGTAACTTTTCTTAAAATTACCATTGGAAAATAGAAATTGCACACGCTAAAAAAAATCACGTCCAGGAAAATTTCACTAACT